GTGGGGGAAAAGGGAAGAAGAGGTGGGGCTATAGGTACTTTTCACCAACTGCCAATGTGGTTCTGCGAGACTGGGCTCCCAGCACTTCACAGCCTGAACGCCAGGACGCCAAGGACCTGGAGGACTCGTTTGTGCTGCGCAGTGCAGCCGCATGCCTGGATCAGGTGGTTATGGAAGGGAAGAGTCTGAAAGACCAGGCTCTGCACTTGTCTTCATCACCACCAAGGGGTCCAGTGATCATAATGACGCTCAAAGATGATCACAAACTTAAAAAAGGAAAGCCAAGAAAGAAAGGCTTTGTTAAGAGAGTATGATAAGGTGAGCAATAAGACAGGAAAACAGGGGCATACTAGACATAGAAATTAATAAACCACACAGAAATCCATTTCGAAGAATTTTTAGGGAGACCTGCAAATCCATGGTCACTAACCTCACCTGAGGCCTCACCATCCGACAGAAACTTCACTGAGCAGCTGCTGTCAGAGCAGCCCTGCTGTCACCAGCCCGCCTTGGCTCCCCTGTCCACGTGATGCCTTCAGTGTCAACAAACGGTCTTCTCTCCTGTCGCACAGAGGAAGCCCTCAGCAGTCAGAACACCCCTGCTTTCCGACTGCAGATCGCAGACCTCTGTGCTGGTGCCCCCTTCCCCCGACGCTGAGGCCCAGCCCTGCCCCCACCCATGGGTGCCACCCCTCGCTGTGTGGGGCCCCCTTCCCTGTCTCCACCCTCACTTTCCACTGTGTCCTTTCCCAGTGGAGACTAACAGTCCGACTCAAAACAGGTCCATGTTTTCAGGTTATATCACCTAAAAAATCTTGGTAATATTTATAGAGAAAAAACTGGGAACTGCATGCTGTTTCTCAAACATCTCAACTGATCTTCAAATGTCCCAGTTGCGCTCTTATCTTGTATAATTCCTGGCTTGTCTTTGCTACCAAAACATTTTGTTCCAAACAGTGGTGTCGTGTAAGGACTGGGCTGGCCAGTGTTTCTAATCATCCTCAACAGTAAGTATTTATTCTTCCTGGAGAATCTGGCCACTTGTTTATCTGTTGAACTACATTTCCCTTTAAAGGCTTTGCAGGGAAAAGAGAAGATATAAAATATAAGATTAAAGAATGAAATGCTGGAATTGCAAAAAAAAAAAAAAATCTCCACAGTTCAGGAAATCCTAGCATGCCTGCTTTGTTGTTTGTTTCCAACTTGAGTGAGGCTTGTGAAAAGACAATTAGAATGGTCTCTCTGTTCCAACGGGTCATACAGGAAAGAAACAGGAAATCTCAATGAAAGCTTGGGCTTCGCAGGATATTTGTGTGAGTGTTTATCCCATGTGTTTGATGTTGTCTCTCCACATCTGCACACTTTATGCCTGCATTTGGGCTGAAATGTTTCAAAATACCACTCTGCTTTTTTCACTTCATTACAGTTCCTGGCACTAGGCTGTCTACGTGGGAGGGGCTCGCGAGTAGCACCGAGTAAGGAAATTGAGGCCCAGAAGGCACCAGTCATTCATTTCCTCTGGATGCGGGCTCCCTCATTATAAAATGTGAGGATTAGACCGGATAAGTGCTTCTAAAACTTTTCCACCAAAGCATCCCTCACAGAGGCGAAGATGAATAGTATCCCCCCGGGATCTGAGGCCTCAGCCTGGAGCAGACTCTGCAAACTGCAAGTTGCTTTGAAATGCCCTGTTTTATCCTACAAAATTCATGAGAACTGTGCATTTTACAAAACAGGAAAAGTCTCTGTTTGTTTTAATATGAACGTTACCTCAATAGTAAAACCACTTTGCTTTCCCACCAAATAATCAAGTGAGTCCAACACTGTAAGATGCAGGCGTCAGCCCCTCCACCCCAGCGCTCATGCACCCCAGGGGTCGCCTACCCAGGCCTGAGAAGCTGGGACCGGTGGCATGTACATCTCCTTCCAGAGTGAAACACTACACCCACAACACTCAAGGCTTGTGGTTCTTCAGAAAAGTAAGACGAGATGAGGGAAAGTTGTCATCCTTGCACTTCAACAGCAGGCAGAGAAGGCAGGCGGGTATAGAAAGGGGTATAGGTAAAGGACTCGGAGCCGCCTGCAGTTGTCCAGAGCCACACAGAGGGGCTGGGGTCTGATGGAAGCTGCAGACGGTCACCGATGTCGGACCTGGAAGGGACCCTCTGCCCCCAGCACTCAGGACAGTCACCTCCACACACTCAGGAGGGAAACTCACTCTCTCACCAGACAAACCACTGCACATTGGAATAAGCCTTTAGGAAAGAATGACCTTGAAACAACTCAAAATGTTCCCACAATGCCGTTCACCCAGAGGCTCAATTTCTGTCCCCAGAGGCTCAATTTCTGTCCCCAGACACCCCGGGGCCTGTGAACATGAAGAGCACAACTCAAGTTCACATCCAACCCCGTCACCTGTTCACTGTGTGGCCCCTCTGGCCAGATGAGCTCAGTCTCCATGACTGGGAGAAACAGATAATGGACCTGCCTCTCAGCACGACTGTGAGGATGGGAAGGGGCTGAAGTCTGTAAAGCAGGTAGAAATGGGGCTGGCCTGGTGTGTGTCATCCTGATTGCAGGCTATTACAATTACTATTGGGCTTCTCTGGTGGCTCAGCTGGTAAAGAATCCTGGGTTCGATCCTGGGTTGGGAAGATTCCCTGGAGAAGAGAACAGCTACCCACTCCAGTATTCTGGCCTGGAGAATTCCATGGACTCTATAGTCTACGGGGTCGCACAGAGTTGGACACGACTGAGTGACTTGCACCACAGAGACCACCCGTAAGACTTCCCCATTACAGACCTGGAATTTAAAAACACATAACATGCAATGCTCCGGAGTCTCGTCCTCTCTTGGCAAATATCCTTACTCCTTGAAACACTCCTCTGACCTAACCCCACAGGTCCTTAGCTCTGGAAACTCTCCTTTGAACATATTTGCGTTTTTTATCCTCCTGCTTAAAACGCAGTGACCAGAACAGACCTCCTCCTCGCAAGCCGACAGGTGGACAGTCCGTGGAGACCACCTTTTACTGGCCATGACCCGCCGTTCCGGGTTCTTCCTCTCTTCCTGGCACTCAGGCCCCGACAACCCCACCCAGCCCCCGCCGCATACTTTCTGCCGATGGCTGTCTGAGACGAAGCGCAGCATTTTACCTTCAGTCCCAGTAAACAATCTTAATTTCAGCAGTTTAAATCTTCAGAAGCTGATTCCGGACCCCGGTTGCTAACAACTCTGCGTCTGAGGTGGTAACTGTGTGCACCTCATCGCCCTGTGATGTACCTGGAAATCTCGCGTGTGGTGACTCTGGTCGCTCGGAGCCGGCCTCCCGCGCACCCCACGGAGGCCGTGGCGACGCTGGCCGCTCGGAGCCGGCCTCCCGCGCACCCCACGGAGGCCGTGGCGACGCTGGTCCCTCGGAGCCGGCCTCCCGCGCACCCCACGGAGGCCGTGGCGACGCTGGCCGCTCGGAGCCGGCCTCCCGCGCACCCCACGGAGGCCGTGGCGACGCTGGCCGCTCGGAGCCGGCCTCCCGCGCACCCCACGGAGGCCGTGGCGACGCTGGCCGCTCGGAGCCGGCCTCCCGCGCACCCCACGGAGGCCGTGGCGACGCTGGCCGCTCGGAGCCGGCCTCCCGCGCACCCCACGGAGGCCGTGGCGACGCTGGCCGCTCGGAGCCGGCCTCCCGCGCACCCCACGGAGGCCGTGGCGACGCTGGCCGCTCGGAGCCGGCCCCCCGCGCACCCCACGGAGGCCGTGGCGACGCTGGCCGCTCGGAGCCGGCCTCCCGCGCACCCCACAGACACACCCACAGACACACCCACAGCTGGCCCCACCCCACGCCCGGGGGCCCCGCCCACGGCTGAGCGAAGCCCCGCCCCCCACCCCTGCCCATCCCCAGGGCCACCGGCTCCCAGAGCCGAGTCCGCTAGGCTTCCCCTCAGGGAAACGACTCTGCGCCTGTCTTTCCTCATGGTTTTCACGGGGACTACCATTCTGGCTGATGGAATTTTCTGCTTAAAAAGGGGTTTTAAAGTTTGTATATTACCGGGTCAATGGATGTTCTCCTAACACTCCGGAGCTCATACTCCCGCTTCCTAAGTGGCTGTCTGGAAGCTTCACGCTCAGCAAGGGTGCTGATGATCGGCCCACGACACAGGAGGAAGAGAAACAGGCTAACTCTGCACTGACCTCAGAGATCTTTGAGTGGTTTTCCAAAAACTCCTATTATACACTCGTCAAACATCTATCATTTCTCTTTCATGAAAATGAAATAAGACTGATGCAATAGTGTATGGTTTCTATTAATAGTATGAATCCTTTAAATAATTCATCAATTTTCCTTATTGAATATTTTTGACCAAGACTATAAAAGACAAAAATCTGGTACAGCTTCAAATCTATCACTCTGAGAAAAGTCTTTGAAGCTTAATGGTCTTTCAAAGGAATTTATATATTTTTACCCTAAAAAAAGGGACTGTCACGTTAAAAAGACTATCAGTGTAGAAAGTAGAGCATGTAGAAAAGAATAATTAACATCATTGTTTGAATATTTCTGTCTGGTTTTCAAGGCTAAGGATAATTGGGCCAGAAAATGTAAACATTTTTCATGACTCTTAGTAGATGCTACAAAAATTGTTTTGGCTACATTAACACACTGCCACTAGCAATATATGAAAGTGCCAATTTTACTAAACTTTTGCCAGCTTTAAATGGTACATCACTTTAATTTACATTTTTATTAACACCAAGTTTGAAGATATTTCTACATGGTCATTTACTCAATTTACTTCTTTATATGTTTCTTTCCTTTGCCAGTTTATTTATTGGGACATTAAAGATTTTCTTATAATCTACACTACTTATTTATATGCTAACTATTTCATTTGTTATAATTCATTAACTTAACAAAGGGAATCGCTCTCTGTCTATCCTAAGTATTTTCGCCATGCAGACACTGTGCTCGAGGGGAGCGTGCAGGGCCTCGGCGCAGACGCACCTGCTGCTCGTATCTCTGCTTGACGTCGTCCAGCTGCCACAGGAAGTCCTTGGACTGCTTCTCACGGAGAGACTTGGACCGAGTCAGGTCTGCTTCCACCTTTTCCATCTGCAAAGTTTAAAAATCAAACATCAAAATTTCAAGTGGCAAATGGCATCGCATATTTTTGTCAGTTGCACATTCATTAAAATGATGGATTTTCAACACCTCACCGATCATAATGCTGAATTTAAAGATGATAAAGTGGTGACAGACGTGTCCACTTATCTTGATAGGTTTTAATAGTTTTAAATCAGGGAACTTATCATTGGTATATTGTTGACTAAACTCTACTGTGACAATAACATTGTGATAGAAAAACAATTTTGAACATCCAAATACTTACTCAACAAGGTTTTATTAAGGCCTTGCTGTGTGCTGAATGGGAGAAAATATTTACAAACCATCTATCTGAAAAGGGACTTGCATCTAGTATATATAAAGAAATCTTACAACTCAATTATAAATGGGCAATTTAATGCAATTTTATATTGGGCAAAGGGATTGGAAGACATGCCTCCAAAGAAGATACACCGATGGCCAACAGGCACCTGAGAAAATGCTCCACACACTGTCATCAGGCAGTGTCAGGTAAAACAGCAACCTGCACTTCACGCCCACCAGGATGGCTGTAGTCAAAAAGCCAGGTGATAACAAGGGTTGGTGAAGATGCAGAGAAATCAGACCCCCACAAGCGCTGGTGGGGATATGAAATGATGCAACCATTTTGGAAGACAATTTCACAGTTCCTCAAAAGATTAACCATAGAGATGATACAGTGAACCCACATGGATTCCATATGAACCAGGAATTCCACTCCTAGGTGAGAAATGAAAAACATAATCCATACTAAAAACTTGTATTCAAATGTTCATGGCCTAACTGCCAAAAAGGAGGAAAGAGCCCAAATATCCATCAGTTGATGAATGAACAAAATGTGGCATATTCATACAATGAGACATTATTCGGATGAAGTACTAACACACATTACAACATGGATGAATCTTGAAAACAGTATTCAAAGTAAAAGAGAACAGGCAGAAAAGGCCATGTATTGTACTGTCCCATTTGTGTTAAATTCGCAGAAGAGTCAAATCCACAGAAACAGAAAGAGGACTAGTGATTGCCTAGGGTGCTAGGGGGCTGGGGTGGGCTTTTCCTGGAGTGATGATAGTTGCACAGCTGTGTGAATATATTAAAAACCATTGTACCATACACATGGGTCAGCAGCTTCCATATTGAGCAATCAGAGTTCTAAGATGACCAACACAGGCCCTCAGTCCCAAGACCAGCTTTGCCGAGGAATGTCTAAGGCAGGCACAGTGGAGCCCACGTTGTTTTCTAGCTCACGGCCTGGCTTTCAGGACTCTCTCCTTCAGTGAGTGCTCTTGGCATCAGCCCTCTACCCAGAGGCCTGTGGCTTGGTCCTCACGAGCCATCCCTGCGCTCTGGCTCCCCGGCACTTCCCGAACGGCTGCGGCTACTCACGAGGCAGCTTTGGTCCTCTCTGTTGGAAATCCTCCGTGTTTCTCTCACCCAACCATCCCTCTCTGAGGCTAACTCGAGCCCCTCCTCCTGGCGGAGGGGTCTGCTCTCTGATCCACAACTGACGGAAACACCTTCCTCTTCCTGTGCTCTGGGAGCAAGAAGATGAAACTTTTCCTTTCCCAGCACACGGTGCTTTTCTCTAGAGCGCAGGAGTGTTTCAGATTGCGAGCTTTGCTTACTCATCTACATAGTGAGCTCCCAAATAAAAGAAACTATGACTTATAATTCTGTTATATCTTAGTTATCAATTAATTGCCATGGTGTGCAGAATACATACGTATTAAATTCTCAAGGATGAATGGAGGGCAGACAAAAGTAAAACAGAAAGGAGGCAAGAAAGTTAAATCAATGAGAGAAGACCTGGTTTATTCAGGGCTTTTAAGACAAATCTTCATATGAAGTTGATTTTTGGTTCTTATTCTACTTTAGCACAGATTGAATATTACAAATAACAGTAATTATTAAAATATTTTAAATTAAGAGCTTTGTATACACAACATTCATAAAAATAGGATATCTTCCTTCAAAAAAATTATCTATAACCAAAGTAAAAAACAATTTAAAGCACATGAAAGACCTCTTATACCAAAATATTGAGAAAAATTCAGTGTTATAAGTGTTATTTGGTGTCATTATAAGTGTTACTTTATACTGACCGAAAATGCAAGACCCCACTCCATTCTCCTTCCACAATTTAACCAAAATAAACAAGTCTTGTAAAACACTTGAAGTTTGTGTAGAAACACAAGGTTCTCAGTTGGCATAGAGACAAAAGATTCTGCTTAATCATACATCATTCCATATTCCATTTAACTTCAAGGGTAAGGAAAAAAGAACATTGGGTAAATGGCTTCCAAGAAAGCTAAGTGTAGGACTTGGTGATCAAATTAGGAGCAGAAACGGGCTCGGGTGTGTTTCTGTGAATGTCTAACATTCACAGGTGCTGAAGAGAGGTCTACGATGGTGTCTTGGGTGTTACTTGAGCTCCACGAAAGAGAACACCTGAGCGTCCAGAGCTTAAGCAACGCCAGCGCTCTGTGTCCTCCTCGGGGCACGAGACGTTCAGGAACAGGCCGCAGCGTCGGCAGTTCAAAGATGTTAGGGCTCGGGTGTCTGCAATTCAGCTTCCCGCGATGGCCCGAGTGGTGTCTGCAGCTCAGAGTCCCCAGCCCTAAAGGGCGGGGGCGAGGGGACAAGGGTTAAGGGTCCATTGAAGCTGCTGAAAACCCTCTGAAGGGGCTTTCCTGCCAGTTCCTGTCAGGAGCAAGTTAAGTATGCTGTTTCCATCTCATTCACTGCGTTAGAAGTTCTCTGCATTAGAAGCCACACTCCATCTGCAAGGTGAGAGGCTGCCAATTTAGAACCATGTCTAATGTTGCCCTAAATAAACTCAGGGCTCTACTGTGTTAGTAAGACTAGGAATGGACCCTGGGCCAGGATCTAGCGTTTCTGTCAAACGTGGTTGTAAAAAGTCATTGTTCTTTCTCTAGTCAACTTCTCTTGTGTTGTTAGGTTCTGAGTAATCTGACATATAAATTTAGTAGATAATTATACAATTCTATAGACATATACAATTTTACTGTATTTAATACATATTTAGATAAACTATAAGAAATTGTCCTTCAAATATTTTCAGATATGTATAGATGTAGACAGAAGGACAGACAGATAGGCAGATAAGACAGATACAAACGGCAGCAAGACAGAGAAACAGTTATCTGTGCTGGACTAAAGATTCAGTAGGAACTAACATCCTTGATAGAGAAAAGCAATGGATGCGTGTCTGGTACCGCTCCCCTTCCTATCCACTTGTAGGAGATCTCTATCGACCCTGGGTGTGGATGCTCGGTTCAGCGCCTCATTGCCACAGCACCATTTACTGGCCCGGCCCTTCTTTGCCGGCTGTATGGCAATACAGGGTGATCGTAGTGTGTGTGAGTCTGTTTTTGGTCTCTTTCCTCTAAAACATTGGTCATCTTTGTGCCAAAACCACACTGTAGTTATGACTATAGCTTAACATTAGTCTCAGTATTTGGCAGTCTGTATAAGTTCTGGTAGCATAAGGTTGCCATGGCTGCTCTGAGCCATCTGTATTTCCACGTAGGTTTAGAATCAGCTTGCCAGTTTCCCTCACTCCCCAACCACTGCCCCCCACCCGCCCCCGGCAAGAAGCACTGCTAATGTTTTGAGGATTGTGTTGATTCTATATATTAATCTGGGGAGAACTGACATTTTTACAGGTTTTCCCGATGGCTCAGCCAGTAAAGAACCCACCTATGACGCAGGAGACACAGGTGAGACACATTCAACCCCTGGGTTGGGAAGTTCCCCTGCCAGAGGAAATGGCAATCCACTCCAGTATTCTTGCCTTGGAAACCCCATGGACAGAGGAACCTGGTGGGCTATCGTCTGTGGGGTCGCAAAGAATCGGACAGGGACTGAGCAACTAAGCACGCACACACGGTGTGGAATTAGAAGGGCCTAAACCAAGGCAGAATCAACAGGAATGGAGTAAAGAACAAGGAAAAATATTTTAGGACATCTTTATAACACTTGAGTCTTCAAATCCATACACAAGATACATCTCCCAATTCGTCCAGGTCTTCCTTGGTAGTAAGTAAACTTTCACTTACTACTCTATTAAGCATTTAAGGATGAGAGTTAAGGTTTAATTATTTGTTTGATTTCTTTGTTTAATTTTGTTTTTCAAAGCCAAACATTTATCCATAGACTTTGGATGTTGACATTTGGAATTGATTAACATAATAGGCTCTGTGAGAATACTTAAATATACTTCAAGAAGTTTACCTCTGCTACCTCATCTCATTTGAAGACAAAATTTTTCAAATGTTGAAAGCGGAGACAGATTTGCCCATTATCATCAAAAAGTAACTGAGAAAACATGCTTCTATTTGTATTGGATATTCTATTACCTTAAAGCTGGTCTAAAAAGACCTTATTTAATTACATGAGCCAGCATGACCTTTAAAGGACGAGAGGATGGATGGTCCGTATATCGAGTCTTCTCTCTCAGTCTGTTATCCATCTACATTTATAAAAGCACATATATATTCAGATGACATTCCTCCTTCCTTGTAACTTGAGAATTTTTTCATGAAGTCAACAGCAACAATGAGATGATAAACTAAACTCAAAATCTTTTAGACTGTAAGAAGCTGCTAATCAGTTTCAAATGTACCAGCACCCAGAAGCAACCTCATTAGTCAAAGGCAGGGTTTTCGAACTGGGTTTTCACAGCAAACCGTGGGTTTTCCAAGTATAAAGCTAATACCATGTAGCTGATGGCTACAAAGATAAAGGAACAGAATTTAAAGCCAGATATTTAGCAGCAAATGTCACTTAATGAGAATGTATTTTCAAGAGGAGAAAAACTAACTAGAAAAGTCAAGTGGTTGAGTGGAAGCCCCAGGAGGAAGTGGTGAGCTGACATTCATTCAGTTGGTGTACAAGATGAAAAAGTTTCACCTTAGAATTGCTGCCAATACTTCAAAAGACATAGC